TAACCTGCCCTTATCCTTCATAGCAGCAGACACACTTGAAATAATTAATCATTTGTTTAATGCCTCCTTCTGGGTAGTGATTGATCCAAGAGAGGAAGCGCGTCTGTCTTGCTCAACCCTCTGTCCCTGGTGCCCAGGAAAGTACCTGGCTAAGAGCACAGGACATCCTCAGCCCGGAGCATCCCGCAGTTCCCACAGTGCGGTTCTTGAAATTCAGCCTCCTGGAAAGATGGTGATAACTTCCCGTTCCTTCCAGATCTGCCGCCTGGGTCCTCATGAGTGTTCTCTCTCTCAAGGCCAGTTTGCTTCCTCCCTCAACATGTCTCATATCCTTCCTTCAGATTCCCCACATTTGGGGAAGCAGAGTCCACCCCCTCCATCTTCCTCTTCCCATCCCCACCCTTGCCTCCCCTGGGGAGCTTTTGACCAGAGGATGAAAAGATATGATCAAAACACGGTGCCTGTGAGCAGGAAGCTGAAACAGGATGAATGTCACAGACCCGCCACCCCAGGCATGACCTGCCAGAGCTCAACTGAGAGGGCCAGTGTATGCTGGGCAGCGGCGGGGGCAGGGGTTGGGGAACTCTCCTCTGATCTCGCTAATTGTGGCAGAGCAGAATGGGTTCATATTGGTCAGCATCAGGGGAAGGACTTGCCAAGTGGGACAGCTCTGCTACCTTGGCTGCTCACTCACCTCCCCAGCCCTGAGGCAGGACCTGCGGAGAGGTCTTCACGAACACGCGGGAGAGGAGGCCCCCTCATGCCGGAATAGCAGCTCTGCCCCAGGGGCCTGGGCGCACTCCTGCAGGCTCTATGGGCAGGGAGAGCCTGAGTAACCCTCTGTTCCCCGGGGTCACATGTCCACCCCAACGCCCTGTTCCCCGGGGTCACATGTCCATCCCAACGCCCTACCCACCCACTCCCCAGGGCACAGGGTGACATCCTTGTCCTTGTTTTTGCTGGAATCCTCCAAGGGGCTTGTCTTACGAGTATCTCATTTTGACCTCATCCCAAACCAAGCCAGAGAATTAGCAGCTTAGGCAACTGCCCATGTGATTGAAAGCAACAATCCCCCAGAGGCTGGTGCCCAGCAGAAGGATTAGGGAGCTTTGTAAAGAGAGAGGCTCCAGCCCAAAATCCCTCGGGGGGAGGCCTGGGGGCTCTCCTTTTGTGGCTGGTTTTAAAGTTGCCCCAGGTGCTTCCACTCACCAATCGGATCAAATCTGGGAACCTGCCAAAGGAAGCTTCCCCCTTACTCGTCATGGGACCTGAGAGTCTATCTTTTGAGTAACGTCTTTGGGCCTCCCAGAGCTCCCATGAGGTCCTGTGGGCTCGTCGCCAGGTCCCGAGACAGGGAGAGTATATCAGCTAATGCCTCGACGACAGCTGCCAGACGAGACTCGGAAGGGATCTCCTTTGTCAACAGCACCGATTAAGCACGTATGAGCCACCAGGTCCTTGTCCCCTGGGGACAGAGCGGTGAACAAAACACACAAAGCTCCCTGCCTTCATGGAGGTTACCTTTATAGCAGAGAGAGAAAGAGACAAAAGTCAGGCTGGACAAAGAAAATATATAAGGTATTGGACAGACATGAAGGCTAAGGAGGAGCGTAAAACCCAGGAAGGGGCAGGGGCTGTGCAGGTGTGGATGGCGAGTGGGTCTGTGTGCCCGGCCCCTCAACTTGAAATAGCTTGGTCTCACTGAGAAGGTGACATTTAAGTGAAGACTTTTGAACCAAGAGTAACACAATCTATTTTAATATTATCAGTCTGGCTGTTGGGAATAGACTGAAAAGGGCAAGAGGAAAACAAGGAGACCAGGGCGATCTAAGTGGGAGGTGATGGGCATGAATTCATCTTCTGTTGCTACAGATCGGTGGCTTAAGGTCTCACAGAGGGGCGCCTGGATGGCTCGTTCGGTTAAGGTTCTGACTCTCGGTTTCAGCTCAGGCCATGATCTCAGGGACGTAACATCGAGCCCCGAGTCTGGCTCCGTGCTCAGCGTGGAATCTGCTCACCCCAGGGGTCCAAGGACTGAGGGTGGGGGGTGGGGGGGACTCCGATGGCACAAGGTTAGGGACATGAGAAAGAAGCAGCACAAGGACAGCAAAAATTGCACATGCTGAGATAGGAGGAAGCCAGGAGACACTGGTCTCCTGGGGGCCAGGTGAAGACAGGAGATGGCGTTTCGGGGGGAGTGGGAAGGACAGCTAAGTCCCTGCGTGAGACGGATACCTATGGGACCAAGGGCACGCCTTACCCACTCCAGCACATGGCATCTCTCCCCACCCCCAGACACACACCCACACCCAAATACCTTCTAGCATGGAAATCAAGCCCGGTGTCCTAGGATCCAGGCAAAGGAGCAGAAAAGATCTGCTGTCCCCAACCCAAACTCCCACAGACGTGCAGCTGGGATGCGGTTAAGCTCTATGTCTTGTCCTGTAGACCCTGTCCCCCTTGCTCCATCTGCGATTCCCAGGGGCCAAGTCTGTCACCTGTTTCTGGAAAAAGAAAACATCTTAGGTAGGCAGCAAGGTCTCCCTCTGCTTGCCACCCACTGAGTCCCCTGGAACTGTTATTGATTGAATGATCAGATCATTCGTTCCTGCGTGGGAAGCACCAGCCGCACTCATGTCACCCACAGGGTGACTTCCCCGGGGGAAGCCGGACTCCAGTCTGAACCATTGTTTGCATGCTTTCAAGGAGAAGCCTCCCTTTAACTAGCCCCCGTATTTCATTCATCGCTTGCGGAACATCCGCCCAGTTCTCGGAATCAAACCAAAGGCAGACCCTGCATGAGGCCACGTGCACCGGGCATCTTGAGTCTTCTGGCGAGACAGGCAGTTGAGGAATGTTCGTGTCTACCAGCTTGGATAGATTCCCTCCCCTCGTCTCCTTCTCCCTCCCCTCTCACTTCCCCCTCTCCTCTCCCTTTTCATTTCTCTTTCTGCACCCCACCACTTCCCCTGGAGTTTTAAGCAGTGCTTAGACCCCGGGTCCTCAAGCTGGTTGCATACTGGAATCTCCTGGAAAATTAAAAAACAAAACAATTGCTGCTGGGTCCCACCTTCAGAGATTCTCGTGTCACTGTTCTTGGGTGTGAGCTGGGCTTTCAGAGTGTTGAAAGCTCCTCGGGATTCTAATGCTCTGCCAGGTTCGGGAACCAGTGCCTTGGTGACCTGAGCTGTGGGTCCCAGCGCAATACTTTAAAGCTGTGGAGGGAGGAGCTGGGTTGACCTCCAGCGCCTGGCCCTGCCTCTCCCTGACATTCCCGGTTTCCAGGACAAGTGCTTGGTGCCGGTTTGCCCCAGCTGAGCATGACTGACAGCTGCAGCTTGCCCTGTAATGCTGTGTCCCTAACAAATGACACGATCCGATGGGGACTCTGATATTCTCTCTATAGCTTCTAACTTCTCTCCACAGCTTCCCTCCTAGGGCACCTTCCACCAGCTTTCTGTGTTGGCAACAGCAACGCTCCCGCTGCTGCTCTAGCCCCGGTTGTAAGCAATAGCAGAAGTAGGGGAAAGGTGGCTGGAAACACCCAAGGGCATGTGTACACGTGCCTGAGCACACACAGACATATGCGAACAGAATCAATGAATGAGGCTGAGAAGTGGGATTCTGTTCGTATCGAAATTGTCTGATACCGAAGAAGGGGCCCCAGTGCTCCCTAATGTCTGTTTTTGTGGCACTTATTAGAGGAAAGACCTGGGTCCCTTGCCACTGGAGCAGGTCTTGCACAATGAGCTTCCTGCTTAGAAGTAACCTGTCTCCCCCTCCCTTCTCTCCCCATCTGGGATCCTTAATTGGCAAGATCGAAACAGCAATATGTCTGGGCAAGATCCAAGTCTATTAAATGCCATAACTTTCAGGCTTTTTGAAAATAAAAATTGGCACGAGTTTCCAGAAAGCAACTTGGTAATAAGCCTTAAGACTTTGAAATCCATTCAGTGTATATCGTTTCATCTAATTATTTTACTTCTTATCATAAGGAAATAGTTAAAGATGTGGCAAAAGATTTATACATAAAGATCTTCAACAAAGTGTTATGTATACTTGCAAAAAATCAGAAGTAACTGTACACATTCTATAAGACTGGTTTAATATATCATATATGTCATAGTACAATGAAATAATCAAACTGTTACAAAAATGCTAAATAAGTGCTAATAAAAAAAGCTAAATAAAAAATACAGATAAAATGGTTACTTTTTCAGTGTAAACCACTTGTAGTTATATACACTTACTTGTAGAGAAGGAAACTGTGGACAGAACGCACCACGTTAAGAGTAGTTTATCTGGATTGTATGATCGTGATTGATTTTTTTCCCCCCTGAATTTCCCAAGCTTGTACTCTGTGTATAACCAGAAAAAAATAATTTTTTTCTTTATGAAAAGGTTTCATTTCTCATTAGGGCAGCAAACATGGTTCAGAGGCTGATCTCAGAAGTGACCCCACAGTCCTCTTCCAGTCACTGCCTGTGGGAACACGGGTGTTCCAGGCCCTTCTGTGCTCTTTGTCACACTTGAGTCCCCAGCAGCTCTGACATGGCTGAGCCGGGGAGCATCCAGCCCTCCTCAGGCGTCCGGCCGTGCGCTGGGGTACACCTGCTGGGCAGCGGGACGCATGTCACCTGGGAGGGTGTCCGCCACGTGAGGACCATGTGTCTTTTCTGTTCTCCTTCGGCACAGTGGACCCAGCCGGAGCCTCAGGAATTGGCGATATCGCCCAGACACGCGGGAGCACGTTTGTTCCTTCTGTCCAGAGGTATTTGTGAACCGTCTTCTGTGGTGGCAGGCAAAGTCCCCACTCATTCCACTGACACGGTGACAGGTTGTTACCCGAAAGAGCTGACTGGTAGGGCTGAGAAGGCAAGCTTAGGACCAGAGAGTGGCCTTCCACAGGGCAGACCAGACCATCTGCTAAGTAGCTGGAGGCGTCTCACCAAAGGCGTCTTACCTTTGGTCTCACTAAAGGTCGCTCTCTGTGTTTGCAGATGGAGGTGATCGTCGGGGACTTCGGGATCGTGGTGGTGCCCCGGGACGCAGCGGACACAGACCGAATCATGAATCACTCCTCAATACTCCGCAAATACAAAGTGAGTTCTCCATCTCATCGCGGCCCTAGCTCTGTGGCGTGCTCCTTCGCAGGGGGACCTGCTGCGGGGGAGGGGAGGGGGGCAGGAAGAGGAAGGGTGCCTGAGGACTTTAAGGGGGAGGGGTGGGCAACCTGCTTCCTCTGCTCTGTCCCCAGAACAACATTATGGTGGTGAAGGATGACATCAACCATCCCATGTCTGTCGTCAGCTCAACCAAGAGCAGGTACGTTTGATGCACAGCCAGAGGGGCCTTGGTCAAATGGGCGGACAAGCGTTAATACAACTTTCCGCGGTTCAAGCGGACCCTTACGTCTGCTGACCCTGCTGCCTGGTATTCAGCCTTCTTTGGGGACATCACGTATTTGTCCCCAGTCATTTACTTTTTTTTTTTTTTAAGAGTGGGGGGGTAGAGGAAGAGAGAGAGAATCTCCCCCCCGCCCAGGTTTTATTTATTTATTTGTCAGAGAGAGAGCCCAAGCAGGGGGAGCAGCAGGCAGAAGGAGAAGCAGGCTCCCCGCTGAGCAAGGAGCCCGATGTGGGACTCGATCCCAGGACCTGGGCTCATGACTTGAGTCCAAGGCAGACGCCCCCCCCCCTCCAGGCGCCCCAGGAGAGAGAGAATCTGAAGCAGGCTCCACACCCAGCACAGAGCCCGACAAGGGACTCGATCTCACAACCCTGAGATCGGGCTCTGAGCCAAAATCAAGAGTCAGACATTCAGCTGACTGAGCCACCCAGACGCCCCCTCAGTCGTTTTCTTTTAAGGGTGGGGGGGTTGTTAGCTGGTTTTAGCTGGTTCGTGGGAGGAAGAGGATGTTTTTAGTTTGAGACTCTTTAGTTCGAGGTGTTTATGAAATACTGTATTAATGAGCATATAGGCTAAGCTATCCTAACAAAAAGAGCCCCAATAGTCATGGTTTCAATAAAAGATGTGTTTATTTCCCTCTTACTGAAGTCAAAAGAGATTGAATCTCTGACCTCTTACATGTGAAGCTTCTATCTGTGGGTCCACAGCTGCTGCTGGGGCCGCTGGAAAGGGCAGGAGCTTTGTCCTTAAAAAGGTGGCTTGGCGTTGCACACATCAGTTCCCCCTGTACCCCCGGGCTCAGCCCCAGTTGCGCAGCCATACCTTGCTTCAAGGGAGGCCAGCAAACGGACTTGATGTGCCCAGCTTAAACTCAGGAGGTTCTATTACTGAACAGAGGAACAGAGAATGGATGCTGAGGGCCAGGTGACAATCTCCGCCACCAACTCCAAGTGGAGACGTCCGGTGGAACGGGGAGATCTATGAATATGGAGGTCTGGGAGTGGAAATGGAACTGAAAGCCATGAGCACGGAAGTGTAAACTACGTTAAGAGTATGGCTGATCTCCCGAGGAGAGTCCCTGAGAAGAGAAGCATTTAGAAGGCTCAGGAGCCGTCAAACCAGCAGCGGCCCTGGCCCAAGAACCAAGGCGAGAGAGGCTGCAAAGATGGAGAGCCTTGTCGTCTCTGTCACGTATTTCCGAGAAATCAGGTGGGCCCAGCATTTTTAAAGGTCTGCTGGACTTCCTCCCTGGAAGATGATTCCGTAGACACCTCAAAGAGGAGCATCAAACTGTGAGGGGAGAGCTGAAGCCCAGCTGACAGGGGCCACCGAGGGGAGAGGGGAAGGATTTGGTTCCAAACGTGGCTGCGTGATAAAATTACCCCACAAACTTACACAAGCACACAAATTCCTGTGTCCCCTTCAGTCCCACTGAATCACAATCTGTGGTGGATGAGCCAAGGGATCGGCCCTCTGGGGGATTCCTTTTTTTTTTTTTTAAGATTTATTTATTTATTTGACAGACAGAGATCACAAGTAGGCAGAGAGGCAGGCAGAGAGAGAGGGGGAAGCAAGCTCCCTGCTGAGCAAAGAGCCTGATGTGGGATTCGATCCAAGCACCCCAGGATCATGACCTGAGCCGAAGGCAGAGGCTTTAACCCACTGAGCCACCCAGGCGCCCCTCTGGGGGATTCTGATCAAGTTGGGATTGGCACTTGGAAACCAAGAATACAGGCCACTTTTTCCAGAAGTCTCCCTGTGAACCATGCAGGGAGGCACGTAGGGACCTGGCTTGCTTGGAAGATCAGGACAGACCAAAGAGGCCGTGAGCCAGCCTCTGAGGGGGTCTCACAGGGCAGGGCTCACTGCCTTTCAGAATCTGTTATTTCTGGAGGAGTACGGGCAGTTTTTACAAATAGCTCCTTGAGGCCTGACATTCCCAAGACCATCATACGAGCAGAGAATGGGAAGCAGCCAGGCCAAGGCTGGCGCACACAACTGTGAAGAAACTAAGTGCCTCACTGGAACCTTTTATACCTGGTAGTGCCTTCCTCCTTCCCCCCTGCCTCAGAGGAGGTCACCTTCTTCTCTGTCAGGGCTCCCAGGAGGGAAAAGTGGTCCATCAGTTGTGAGACCATGATGCGGAGAAACACGAAGGAATAAGACAACAGTCAACACATTCAAACACCTGCTGTGTGCTTGGGCTATTCTAAAGGCTTTGCATGACTCCTTTAAGCCTTTTATTTTTATTTTTTAAATCCTTTTAATAGCTGAAGGAGGTGGGCCCAAATACTTGCCTCATTTTTACAGAGGAGGAAACTGAAGAACCGATGGGCTTAAGTAACTTGCCTAAGGTCCCTCTGCTGGGAAATGGCAGAGCCAGGATGGTAGGGAGTCCCCAGGGTGGGGAGGAATTCTGGGGCAGGCGAGCTTTGTCCCAAGAGGGAAACCATTCATGGAGCCTAAGCAAAGGCAGAGACTGGGGTGTCAGGCAAACCCCTTCCCTGGGAGAGTGGGCAGGTGCGTCCTTCTGCCTTGGTCAGGGAAGGCGTCCTCTGAATCCCGTGTCTTCTCATCCAGGCTGGCCCTGCAGCACGGGGACGGCCACGTGGTGGATTACCTGTCCCAGCCGGTCATCGACTACATTCTCAAGAGCCAGCTGTACATCAACACCTCGGGCTAGCAGCCCCCCGGCGCTCCGCTCCACTCTCCCCTCGTCCTCCGGCAACACACTGGCCCCTCCAGTCTCTGTCAGTCCCCCCGTTCTTCTCCTGCCTCTCTGTTTCTCCATCTCCTCATCTTGACTGTTCCCCCCACTTGCTGACTCAACCCTCCAGAGTGTGGGGGACCTGCAGTGAACCACCGCACACCCTACTCAGCAGTCATCTTTGGACAGACTCTCCTCTCGTCTCCGGGTTGGGGGTGGGTGAGGGAATGGGGGGGTAGTGGGGGGTAGTGCAGTCCCTGGAGACGTGCTGGTGTCTGTCTCCCAGCATGCTCTAGAGAGCGGCTCCGGTGCCCGTCCTCCCAGCATGCTCTGGGGAGGCGGCTCTGGCTCTCGCCTTCCCAGCATGCCCTTTACCACGAAGGGCTATTTTGTTCTTTCTTTTCTTTCTTTTCCTTTCTTCTCTTGTTTTTTGTTTTGTTTTGTTGTTCTTGTTGTTGTTGTTCACTCCTCATAGAATTTGGATGAAATCCGTGTCCGTGGTTCTTTATGTTTGTAGTCTTGATGCCTTCCTGTGGTGGTAACTTCCCTTTGGATGGGACACCATAGCCAGCCTCAGCGTGAGAGCCGCACCCAGTAAAGAAGGCCAAGCCACCTCCACCTTCCCGACACCCTCCACTTGCCCACTCACGCCCCATACACCCCCATACACAACAGCTGCTGACTAGGCTCAGGACCGAGGCTTTCAGTTTCCAAAACCTGGGAGGCAGGTCTGGGAATAGTAGGGTTTCTCAGAAGAATTTGTGTCCATTTCCTTAGTTTCAGAAGACCATTGTCCCGATGCTCTGCTCCTGTGATCACACAGAGCCAGTCCATCCCTATATCCAGGTGGCATCTGTCCGGTTCCTCCTTTGGGCTGTGACTGATGGCAGAGTGGGTTCCCTGCCAGCCCAGCGTTCCCAAGAATCCTTCAGGTCACCACTAAGCCCTTGGAGGTCCTACCTAGCCACGTTCCTGCCTCTGAGAAGAATCACCTATTCAAGGCCAAATCCTACTAATGCAGGCATTTCAAAAATAAAATATGCTAGGAATTCACTCAACCCCAGAGATCTTTGCTAATTGGAATTATTTCTTGCCTGTTTGGCTGGGAAAATTTTCTGTCATGATGCAAGTCCAGGATGACCAAGGAGAGAGAGGCTTGTTGCCCTGAAGGGAATTGAAGGTTCTCACCTTCTCTTCCTGCAGTGACCCAGGCGGTGCCCAAGGTCAGTTTCTTCTTGAGACGCAGTACCTCGGCCTTGTTTCTGGAGCTGGTCATATCTCCTGCAGAGCCCAGAACCACAGTCACTGCCTGAGGAAATATGTCTGACAGGGAAGTGGGTTCACAGCAGAGATCATGGGGGAGAGGGCATTAAGAGCCACTAGATGGTTTCATCCTTTTTCTAATTTCTTACCTTCCTCTGCTGCTCCTGCAAAACGTTCTGACAGACTGTTCTAGTTGTTCAGGTCTCGCTCATGCCCTGTTTTGAGAGCCAAAAGGAAATTATCCTCTTGTGCTCTCTTTCATCTAGTCCCTGGCTCTTGGGCTTTTGGTTGTCTTCATGGAATGAAGCAATAGGATGCTTTAATCAAAATCTAGTACCAGTTACGGCCCTGGAGGGGTGAGCTGAGACCTGACATCAGGGACACCATTCTTCAGTACCCATTTCACGTCTGTGACAGTCTTCATAGCCTCCAGGGAAAGGAACTGGATGCAACAGAACAACATGTTCAGGTAGCATCCGGGAAGGTATTATTCCTGTTGGATTTTGGAAATAATCTCCAGAGGAGGGAATGAAGAACCTATTCTTGGGTCTCAGTGTTTGGTTAAGGACCATGGAAGCTAAATGAAAAAAAATAAATAAATAAAACTTCCAGAGATTAGTTGATTCAACATTCTCCTATAAAAGATGAGGGAGCAGAGATCCGCTGGATTAAATGACTGGTCCAAGTTTATATAGCAAGTGTAGAGCCTGGCAAAAGGATACTGTTTCCCTGACCCTTAGGACTTTGTACCACATGATCTCTGTCCCCCCAGTTCCCCATGATACTGACCAGGTAATGTGTGGTTTCTACTCTTTTCAGCCTTTACCAGGCATCTTTCTCTTAAATCGTGTCTCACCCAGGTGCTCCTCTATATGGCATAGTGTATGCCAGTCTTGAGGGACGAGGGACGAGGGACGAGGGATGTGATGGGGAGGAAGGTTATAGCTCAGAAATCAAGAGATCTCAGCAGTTTTGAGGAAATCCCAAAATAGTGACCCTCTGAATCCAAGAAAGGATGCTCTATGGAAGCTAGGAAAGACCTCAAATGCTCAAGATGACACTGAAGAGAGAGAGAAAGAGAAGAGTCTTTGGGCAAAACAGCCCTAAGCCAAGAAAAGAAAACATTTTCAAGGATGCGAAGTTTATCTATGGTTTATTATGAGGATCTACATGAGCAGAACAGAGAAACCAAACATCTTTTGTCTGATGCACCCCATTATTCTTATGGGCTCTGTGGTCAGGCCCCCTTTAGTCCACAGCCCATGAGAGGGAACCTGTGGGACTGACTGTGCATGGCTGGTGTGGGGTGGGACGGTGCACAGGAAGAAAAAGAACAGGGGCATTAGAGGATGTCTGGAATGAAAAGGGGCAGATCTTACCTTGGTGGATCGCAGGGATTGTATTAAAATAGCTTTCCTTAAATCCAAGAAAAAGTGAATTTCCTTTTGGGTAGAATTATCCATTCCCCAAACTGTGCCATTCGTCTAGAATTATCCATTCCCCAAACTGTGCCATTCGTCATTTGCTAGGGGCAGATCAGAAGCCCCCTCAGTCCAGGGCAGGACACTGTGGCTGTGATCCTGCAAAGGATAGCACCAGAAAGATTCAGAGTCTGAAGTAGGGCCCCAGGTGTCATGAGGATGCCCTCTAGGCCCTGATTTCCCCTTTGGGGTCCCCCTTCTTCCTCCAAAGGCCAACTCAAGGCTAGGATGGCTCTGAGATGGGGAGAAAGGCATGGGCTGCAATGATCATGTTAAGAGGGGTCAGGAGCCTCATTTCCTGCCTACCAGTGAAAAACATCTCTCCCTTTCTGCAGAAAGTGTCTGATATGGGTAAGAACAGGCAGGAGGGAAACCCTTTGTGCCAGTGACTCTCCTCGAGGAGTGGCCCTCTGGGGAGCTCTGTGCTGCTACCTGGTACCTCATTCACCAACCCCTCCCCCAGGCAGTCTCTGGGTCCTTCTTGCTTTCATTTTCCTTGAATGTACATAGGAACAGGGGAGGAAAGTCTCTTATTGAAGTGCCTGAAACCCAGAGCTAGAGCTTCTAGAGACGCTCTTCTTCCCACCTCCGCGTGGCAAACCTTCCCCAGCATTCTCTGGTCTCATGCTTCAGCTTCTCAGAAAGAATAGAAGAACTCGCTGTTCTAATTAAGTAGAAAGTGAGACTCAGTCATCAAACTGCAGCAAAAGGCAGAGAATTATAGGAAGACATGACTGTATTTTAACAACCCAATCTCTTCTCCCAAATTGACATAAACACACACTTTAGGGGACTAAGAGAGAGAAGCATGTTATTATATTCCATTCATCAAAAGAGTGACACAAAACTAAATCCATAGACTACGAAAAGCTCAGGATCTCCCCCAAGGCTACCGCAGGAAGGCCGACAGGTGAGATGGGGGAGGATAGAAACAGGGACTGATTTTGTAGCTCCTGCAATTAGGACACCCGAGGAATAGCACTGTGGTAAAGGAACACACGCTTTTGGTCAGATTCATCCAGTCTACACCTTCCTAGAGCTGCTGGGTGAACATAATTCTTCACGGCCTTTCTTGGTTGTGTCAGTTTGGGGTTTCCTATTTGCCTGTTCCAGGTGCTTAGGAATGAGCTACTCTCTTTCCCTTCAGTCTAGCCCAGGTCCAAAACTCAGTTTGATCCAAACGGTCTCATGGATTAGCATGGGGAGGGGGAAGCTTTTTTTTTTTTTTAAATCACTTTTGGTCACTGAATCTGCCATTTTAAGAGTAAGATTTGCTTTATGAAAATCACTCCATTCATAAAAACTACACTGAAGTTGCAACACCATTTCATAGTGAAATATTTTGAGTAAAATTTTGTTGCTAGGATAGTCATGGACAAAAGTTTTATCAGCAAAATGTTTGAATTACATTAATAAATAAGACAATGCTACTAGTCTTGTGTCTTTGTCCAGAATCTTCTCTGTGAGTTGCAGAATTAGTCACCTTTTTTGTCATAGTCTTACTTGACGGGAGCTAACAGTTGCAAAAATGTTCTTAGAGCAGATTTTCTGCCTGGCTTATCGGATGCCACATGTGCGATATGAAAGCATATACAGCCACGCCCGAGGGTTGTAGGCAGGGAAGAATAATTAGCAAACTTGTGAACTGCACCTGAGTTTTCAATGAAAAAAAAATTGAGTCTTAGAACCTATCTAATCTTCGGTTTCTTATTGATTCGCCTTGGCTCCCTAATGAAATTAATTCTTTATGAAACAAAAATGTACTTGCAAAAACTAAACTTGTATAACTCACTTTTGGTATAAAAGATCCTAAATAAGAAAAATCATTAAACTCACCATTTTGACAGTGTAAACAAGCAAAAAAAAAAAAAAAGAATAATTTGTTAATTGCTCAGTTCTGCTTTATTAGTTCTTATCTCATTTGTAGTTGTGACATGCATTGTGTGCTGGTATAGATCCAAATGGTGACTGTCGTTAGCTAGTATCAATCGCGATTCAGATGGTAAAATAGCAATTCCCCTGTAGACCCCTCATTTAGGGCTTAGTCACTTGATTGTCAGATTAGTTGTGCTTTAAAAAAAAATCATTTTGGTTCTTACTATGTATTTTGTTGTTATTGTTTAAGATTGGAATTAGTTAGCTTCGTGCGTGTCCATCTGGGTTTGGTGGCCCACCGTAATGATGCTTGATATGCCTTGTAAATTGATTACTTGTGTTTATGTTTGCTATATTGGCCACAAACCTAAACACTTTTTTCCTCTGTCCTGAGAGTATGTAATGTTAAAAACTTGTTTAAAATTGGGCATAAACACTGGTTTAGTTTGCTAACTTACATTAACTTATAAAATATATGTACTAACTATGAATTAATATTCATGTACATACACATTTCTTCTCTTATGACCCATAAAAGTAAGCTTCAGGTCTTGGAGTTTCTTAGGAAGCTCCATGTAGCCCATAGTGTAAAGGAAGCAGAAGAAAAAAAATCTAACCTCTACTTTCCAGGTGGCAAAATTGAACCACAGCAAGAATCCACAATGCTCCCATAACCCTGCAAAAACATTGAAAGAACATGATACATGATAAATATATCCCAGTCCTTGAGCCTCATTCCAAACATTGGACATTACTGAGTATCGTCTTCCCTTTTCCTCTGGCCTCCCAAGACTACTGACAAGAAACCACATCCTGGGATAAGGTCAGAAATACATCTGCTAAGAAGTCATAGCCTATGCTCAGTTTCATCCCTTACCCTTCCCCCCAAACAGAAATCCCTATGAGTCAAAGTAGATGATGATAGGCATAATGACTTACCAGCACAATTAATCAGAAAGCTCTCAGGGGAGAAGTACAAGAGAGTTTTCACTACCAATTAGAAATATGGATGAGAACCAGGGAGGACAGCTCCCTTAACTTGACAGGGTCAGGACAAGACCGGCAACAGAGGCCAAGTCCTGAGTAGGCTCTCAGCCACACACCCCTTCTCTCTTCTTAGGGATAATTTGTCAGGTCCTCAGAAATGAGGGAATCATGTCTATACCAAGGGAGTCACATGAGTCACTTTCCAATTCCCATCTCTTTTCAGAAATCATCTCCCATTTGTCAGGGAAGTCAGTCTATTACCTCCTTAACAATTTATCCCATTGAGGAATCCCTTTATGATCGCATGGTATTAACTAATGGAATCCCACACCAAGTTCCCTAGAACATGTACTGCTTAATCTCATACTTGGCAGAGACAGACGCCGATCACTAGTTACGCATTCTAATGCATTCTCCCCTTTCAAAGTGTAAGACTGCCCCTGAGACATGGCTTCTTACCAAGAGGCTATATCTCCCAGACCCCTTGCAAGTCAGATGTGGTCATAAAACTGGGTTCTGGATCATGGAACGTGAAAGAAAGTGACGTGCATCCCCTCCCAGGCCTGGCCCCTGAAAACTTTCCAGGTGTCTCCCACTTCTATGTCTTTTTCCCTTCCCACTCATTGGAATGGAAATGTTTCCCAGGGCAACCTTTGAAGTCACACGTTGTACATGGAAAGGTTCTGGAATGACTATGTGGAGGGTCATCCTACCAACCTTCTCCCCATTTATTACAAGAGCAAGAAAAATGTCTATTGTGTTTGAGTGATGTACATTTTTAGGTCTATGTAACATAGCAGTTAATCTAACCTAATTAATAAATATATATTTCCTGGGCACTAGTCGTTAATTACAGTGAGAGATTTATAGGATATATGATTTAGTATGCCAAGACAGGATTATAAATTCACTTCTAGAGAAAGTAAAACAAAGGGATCAGACCTCTCAGAATTTGTGGGGTTAATGTGGACAGGAATGGAATCTTTTCCTCAGCCACTTGGCTAGATGGCCAATTCAGGATCTTAATTTATTATATTTTTATTTGTTAAAAAAACATGACAATGTACCACAAACTACTGATTTCACCTTAATTTCATAGCCAAAGAAAAAAAGACAAAAATATTAATTAAAACCCCACCCTGTTCAGGTTGTTCCAGAAATAAATCCTTCTTCATGCTTAGGAGACCACACCAATTAACTCTCATAGAGGCTCTAATGGTTGGAAAGGGCAAAACAAGATGTTCAGAAAATGTGAACTCTAGGTAGGACTCATTGCTGTTTCTGCGGCATTTTAGTTTCCATTGCTTTGGTACCTCCACCTTAGAGTTTGACAAATGAGAAACTGACCACGGGCATCTAAGAATTATTCTTTATTCAAAAACACATCCACGAAAAGCCAAGGAAGTACAAAGGTGAGTCTACACCAACATCTTCCAACCCGGGATGGAATCATTTCTGGTTTTTCCAGCAATTCCCATTGGTATTGTCATGACTCAACAGTCTGTTGCAATCAGGTGTGGAAAGGGGAGGAGTGACAGCCGGAATGAGAAGTGTGCACAACCCAGAGCCGTCCTGGCTTTGCCAAATCCCAACTGCCCCCATGGGAGTGTCTTGCAACATATGTTCTGTTGAGAAATGAGGTTGCAAACCAGGGGGTTATTGCAATAAAAATCACTTGTATTGAACAAGAGTTGTACGTTTAAATTTATTTTTTTTTTAATGTTCGTCTTCATTACTAGGCAATCAATTCTGTGAGGGCAGAGACTACGTCACCACTGTACCCCAGCCTGACACACAGCAGGTACTCAATAAATACATGTTGCAAGGATGGAAGGATGGATGGATGGAAGGATGGATGGATGGATGGATGGATGGATGGATGGAAGGAAGGAAGGAAGGATGGAAGGATGGATGGATGGAAGGATGGATGGATGGAAGGAAGGAAGGAAGGAAGGAAGGATGGAAGGATGGATGGAAGGAGGATGGAGTCTACCCAGCTCCAGTGTGAATAGCAATATTCTCTGCTATAGGGAGAGAGAGTGAGAAAATAAAACACATAGACACATACAATTTTTAGTGTTTGAAAAGTGGGATTGAATTAGGACTAATAACTCTTCTAGATAATTGTACTTCTTTCAGTGCCCAAGTTGAATTTCTCTATCACCTTGAAACCCAAAAGTAAGTACCTTCCCAGTGTTTGTTTTGTTGGTCGGAAATGCTTTAATAAAAATGTAGTCTCTAACGAGTCATGGCATCATCGGAGAAAGGATGTCACTTCCAGGTCCCAGAAGAACTCAAAGGTGGCAGGACCCAAGCAGGCACCATTCGTCCAATTGGACCAGCCTTATAGACTCTCACTCCATCACTATTCACTTCTTCCAGCTTGAAAGTGGAACACATGTTGACACACTGGGTGGTAAGTGGGAGGAACTCTGGCCAACAAGAAGCTTTCACTGGACACTATAAATCAACAGTATTTTACTGGCCACAGTGTGACTGGGCTTCACTCTCTGCTCAGACATTAAGAATTGTATGGGGGGGCAAAGTTAAAAAAAAATTTTCCTCTGGTCACATTACCTGAAGAATAAGCCAGCTAGAGCCCAGCAGCACCTGTCCGTACTCCAGGACTCAGTCTGAGACTCTCTTGAGGCAAACACCTGGCCGTGCAGCTTGTCCTTCCATCCAGTCCACCCTTCAGGGTCCAGGCCCTTGGCCAGTCTCATACCCAATGCTATCTGCCCACTGCCCAGCATCCGGAAACAAGCAGTATCACACTGGTGAAAGAAGACGTTGATCTGGCCAAGCTCTCGGGGATGGGGTCGGGTTCAGTGGACCTGAACATGCCCATTCAACATGCTCAAATGGTCTCCATCCCACCCCAGCCATAGGAGGTGGCTCTTGAGTTCTGTATCCCAAGAGCCTCCGCGAGCAGTCTCTACAGCAGATTCACTGTTGCTCGAGAGCCTGCGTGTTGTAGCAGCCTGGAGGCAGGTTGTCTCTGATGTTCTCCAGGTTCTTCACGTCGGCGAGAATCCCGTCTATGCTCATCTCCAGCACATGGAGGCGGCCCTGCTGCCGACGGGCTCTCTCTTCCAGCTCTGCCATCAAGGGCCTCAGCTGGCTGTTGATCTGGGCCTTGGCCCGGAAGAGCTTCTGCTCCAGTAAGGTCAGCTTCTCTTCGTCCACACTGCCAGGCTGACCTATTCGAGGGCATGAGAAAGGAGTTAACATAGAAGGGCTGTGGTTAGATCTCCTAGACCATGCGTGGGCCCTCTAGACCCTTAAGTGGTGGGCCTGGAGGAAACGGTATGCCATGCTTTTCTAGGGGCATCTGCCTAGCTCAGGCGGTGGAGCATGTGACTGTTGATCTCAGGGCTGTGAGTTCAAGCCCCACAGGTGGTATGGCGTTTACTTAAAATAAAAAACTTTAAACTGAAAAAAAAAAAAGACTTATTTTGCATCGGGAATAATACAGAAAATATTCCAAGAGCGCTAGCTAGTTACAAGTTACGAACAGCCCAGTTCAAGCCTCTGAGCTCTATAGTTAAGAAACAGGAAGGTTGGATTTCTCCTTTCACATCGGCGCCCACTGTTCATGCTCTGAAAGGATGAAGGCTGAAGGTCACAGGAGACTGAACACCGTCCAAGATGTCTGCCCAGCACAGCTCACCCTGAGATCAAGACCAACTCCGAACTATGTTTACTGAACTACCCTTAGGAAATATCTTGCTATTTTCCATTAGAAGACCTTTAAAGACTGGTTGGGCTTTTGGGTTTCTAGAGGCCAAGGTATGCTTTGCTACTTGGAGGATAGATTCCAGCTGTTTGGAAATGATACGAGACTTCATTCTGGCCTGAGTCCGTGGGAATCCGGCTAGATGCTCGTTTATTTCCCATATGAAATGCAGTCGTATTTGTACAGGTATGTTTCACCCACACACAATCTAAAACTGACGTCAGCATGAAGGGCCCCTGGCCAGACCTGTTTGATATGAATAGGGCCTGTGTGACCTTTAGTCAATTCAAACTCAAGGTCAGGTTGCCTCCACATCTGAGCTGCAGTGATCGCACTGGCCCGCCCGACTTTATCGTGCCTAGGGTGACGACATGGTGATGGGCCCAGGACTCCGGGGAGCAAACAGGAGGAACAGCAGCATAACAAAAAGGGAGATCCAGAGCACTGGTCCTTCTCCAAGGAGCAGAGCGGAATTCCAGCAGGCGGGGGTCTATGCCATGCCGAGAAAGTTAAGGAAGTTTGGGAACACAACAACCATGTCCACGGAGGGGCAGCCCAAGCTGCTCACAGAAGGGGCAGGAGCACTGGCCACGAAAGGATCTCACTTCAAATCCCACCTCCACAGTTTACTATGTGATCCCTGGGACACGATCAACCTCTCTGAGCCTCAGTGGATGGCTCCATGAGATAAAATAATAATAAAAAAATAAATAAATAAAACTCATCTCAAAAGACCTTTCAAAGATGTAAGTGATATTACACCAGAGAACACCTGGCAGAGCCCCGGATGTCCGGTAAATGTTTAACAATTCCCACCAACCACTGCCCACACTTGAAGCTTCTCTTGAAAAGCCCTATTGGTTTCATTACTTTTTTCAGAACTGAAACAAAGCTGCTAAAATCTCCACTGGGGAGTTGGGGTTTTTTTTTTTTTTTGATTGTTGTTTTTTTTTT